AATGCCAAACCAAGAAAATCTAGATTGTGTTGGAGTACAATTCAGCACTTCATAGATGTTGAGTCTTGAGTTGCTAGATCTGTTAAAAGTTTATCCCATTTGCCATGTTGATAATGCTACACAACATGATGTAAGGTATTCTCAATGTAAACCCTGGACTTTTCCCCACAAAGATTCTATGATGATCACTCTCTCTGATCCTGTCATGGACAGATGCATCCATGTCAGGTAGGTTGGTGAGGATGAGGTAATGAATGTTTTCACTTCTTATTGGCTCCCTTATCACCAGGCACAGAGCTAGTGTAACAACTATGCCCTTTAGGATTCAACCAGCTCAGTCAGTATGGCACTGCCAAACCACTTTTCGTACTTGACATTGGTTTGTGATGCACCTAGTTCACTTATAACAGGATGGCACTTAAAAATGAATCTGTTTCTATTGACCACCCTGAACTTCCAATAGCACAGTGACCGTGTTGGCATACCCACACAATTAAATCCAACTCTGTATCTCTAAGTTACCATTTCCTTCTAACCACTTGTCTATAGGGCTTCTTGGTCCACTGTGGACCCAGGTCATCTCTCCTTCTGTCCACTTCCAAAACCTATCAGAAAATCCAGGGTCTTACACCTTGCTGTGTTGAGACAGCTTCATTGTAGGCAGTCTGTGCCATGAAGTACTTGTTGCACTTAGAATACACTTCACCTTCAAGGAGGTGCAGGCTAGCTTTGAGTGATGCTAGCCTGGTCTTAACCTGGACCTCTTGCTGAGATCAGCGCTGGGCTGCATTCCACTATTATTTAAATTAGCAATCAGCACAAAGTTTGCATGCAGCCCAGAATACTATGAACTGGAGCAGCTTAATCATGCATCACAAACTTGTGCTTACTTACAGGGCTTTGGAACATAGGGTATTATCAATATTGTGGCCATATCTGTAGTTATTATAACAAGATCAGCCAGGTGAACCTCATAGAATATGAGTTCCTTGATTGGGGCTGTTAACCTGGTCCAATCAGGGAGCCCTGGCTGACACGACATAAACAGGAGTGTAGAGGTTCTGTTCACTCTGACAGCTGGCTCTGAGGGAGACGGATCAGTGTCAAGAACTCTCCACTTGTAAATAAAGGGTGACTTGGTGATGGGATACCTGCCTCTGTGGAGTTTTTTCAATATCCTTTTGACCTCAAACAATTGACAACTTTAAAATAATGAAGGGATCAGATAAATTTCCAGTAGATTATTTAAAATTGTTTGAGAGTGCCTCACACAGAATTATATTGACCTCAAACAGTGTGTTCAGATGCCAGGAAGTAATGCATTTCATCAAGAATTGTCTGTCATTTTCTAGAATATACTGCCAAAATGTGAACTCAGTAAGTTGTTCCAGTAGACACTTGATGTGAGACGAGACATTTCCAATTATAGAAGGTAGGCAGTGAGTTATTTGTGATTCTGAGGAGCTTTGGACATCTGATAAATCCTTGAGCCTTGTTTGATTACTCTGGTGAATCAGATAAACTTCCTAGAGCTATTCCTGAACTAACCACAGATTATTGTTTCCTGTTGTGTATCTGGCTCTTCAAGTGATTATGTGGTATAGGGAGGGGGAATGGCATACACAGTGGTATTGTTGTCTTATTGCAATGAGCTTAATCAGTTAAATAATCTTGATTTGTCCTTCTTTGCGAATTTGTAAGTTTTTCCATTCATCTGGTATGGAAGCACTTAATATGGTGACTGTGTCTTTTAAACCAATGTTTATTGCATTCCTATTAGTTTTGTTGATTTTAGACTGCCCAGATCAGAAAACTCTCAGTTTCTGATTGTACCTTGTCATCTGATCTCAGTTTATTTGAGAACCTAGCTCATGCAATTGACCTCAGCTTCACTAGTTTGGAGAAATAGAGGGGGAAGTCAGTCTGAAAGCTATAAAGTTACTCCTGCTGTAAAAAATACATGTCTAGAATGGTCTTCCAATAAAAGAGTTGTTGAAATTGACAGATTTTTGTTAGGCAAAAATATCAATGATAAGAATCAAACTGGGATAGATGGGGCTGGGGATACAGATAAATTACAAGCTAACTAAATGACAGATGATGCTCAAGGAGCTGAATGACATACGTACTGCTGTTTCTATGTAGAAATTGAATAAGGGCAAATCAAGGTCAGTTGAAATGTCAAGCCTATTTGAAGAGCCTGGTGAGTGTCTGGAGAAAGGCATGAGGCCAGTGAGTACAAAGACATGAGGACAATGAGCACATTTGGAACTGTACTCAAGAAGAAAAGACAACCAGAAATTAAAATTATGCAAAAGAAAAACATAAATGAAGCTATAAAAATTGAGCTTGAACTTACACGTACATAAGTTGACAGTAGTAGTATTAATTTTTAAAATCTGTAATTTCCCTTGAGGTTCTGTGTCAAGTGGCATTTTTCCATTGTATGAGCAACCCTGCATCTTCTCATCAAGGAAGCATTCTTCACCTGTCAATTCAAGGAGTGTAACTACTTCCACTGTTGCTTCTGTTTCGGCATTCTGCACTTGCGAAATACTGTGGAATATTTCTCATATTTAAAGTTCAGTCTGCATGGAAACCTTTTTTATGAGTTCTCCCAATTAGAGTTACTTGACGGGAATCAGGACAGGAAATTTGTCAGATTGCTAGCACCCTGTGACCCAGGCGATATTGAAGTTAAGTATTTAGCATGTGTCATTTGTCCATTTTAGTTTGTCTTGCAGGAAGAAAACGTAATCCTTTCATCACATGTAGGATGCTACATGGCACTGCTAAATTTATCTTCCATTATTCTGATGCCGTGCTTCTAACCTTACAGTCACAGTTTAATTTGAAGTTCAGTTCTAGATTCCATCAGAGGGAAGAGGGTGAAATTAATCTACATCAGTAGCGTGAATTGGGTTCGAAGTGAATTGGCAACCTGTTTTAAAATCCATCTGATTTTCTTTACCATTCAAGTCAACAAAATGTATAATACAGCATGATATGAAATGAATTATGAATTCACTATTGATGAAGAAAAATTATACCCCAACTTTTCTACATTAGTTACTACTACATTTGACTTTGCAGCACTTCTTTTCCATTTAGGAGATGGAAGAGCCCAACCTTCTCTAGATTTTCCTGATCATAACATATAGAAAGCCGGATAATTTTTGTTCATCTTTGGGTAACCAGTATGTTCTTTTATCAGTGAACACATGTTTTCACTCAGAAGTCAAACTAAATGACATCTTATTTGTAATTTTTGTCTTGTGGCTATTTTTCAAACAACAAAACTAAAACATAAAGCAAGTTCAACAGCAATGTTATAATGTGACAGCATCAACACTTTACAATGGGCTTTGCAGCTGAGTAAACACCTCCACTGACATTCGAATAGAAAAATACTCTCAATTACTACTGTTTCTCTCTATAATCTCTCAATCACTGCCCGCCTGTTTTGTTCTCTGTAATCTCTTTCAATTTAGTGGTCTTACCTCTTATAAATTTCCTCTATCAATTATTTTAATGCAGGTATTAGCTCATTAAACCAAATCCTACTTTAAAGCTGCAAGTAATGCAGCATTATATAATAGCATCAAACAATTATCCATTAATTTCTAGGGTCATATTGACTGCAATCTTGACATTTCACATCCTACAGATATGGTCATGGCCATGGTGTGAACAAGCCAACATTCATGATTTTAAATACGTACATACAACACTGAAGACCAATTAACTGTTTAGTTTCCAACAGGAGGTGAAAACTTGCACCCTCATGTATTACAATCATAGATCATTTGAAACACCAGAGAAGGCCATTTGACCCATTCTGCCCATGCTCATTGATGAAGAGCTAGCCAGCCTAATCCCAACTTCTTGCACTTGATCCATCGCCCTACAGTTTATGGGCTCTTCAAATAGATATTCCAAGTCCTTCTTAAATGTGGTGAGAGTTCTCTACCACCCTTTAAAGCAGGGAGCTCCAGTTCCCATTATCTTCACATAATCACACTCAGAATCAGGTAAAAGGGAGATTGATAATGTCCTTCAAGGGGGGCTGCATACAAAAATCACACCCAAATGACATGCCAACATTTTAATGATGCAGTGAAGGTAGAATCATGCAGCACAAAAGGAGGCTATTTGGCCATTGTGTCTGTGCCAGCTCTTTGAAAAAGCTGTACCACTGCTCCTTAGCCCTGGAGTTCTTTTATATTCATATACATCCAATTCCATTGTGAAAGTTTTATCCTTTCAAGCAATTTATTCAAGAACTTGCTGTGAAGATATAAAAATTTCCTTTCCTTTTTTTACCAGCCATCTCTATCCTATTTCCATTGTTTTCTGCCCACATCTCGCCAATACTTTCTCTACTTTGTGAAAATATCTCATAAGTTTGAACAGCCCATTTTAAATCGCTGTTGGACATTTCTAAATACAAATCACACCATCACATTTCCATCCTACAAAAATCACAGAAAAAGGCTTTGGGCGATCAAACTTTGAGGGGGACGATGTCCCTTTAAGTGAACCAATGAAAGAGGATCCAATGGCATCTCATCCACCTTTAAGAGACTAGACAAAAGCCAGGAATGAATGAATGGACACTCACGACAGTAATCACAGTCACCGATTTGAGTTCCTCAGCTGCACTTCCGATTTATTGTTTCCAATGCAAACTCCTCACTTTTAACACATTGGAAAAAAAACACACAAAATGCAGCTTGCACAAATTGAATTTAAACTGACTCAGAAACATTAATGTGCAAGACGCCATTAGCTGCAATTAGGCTCAGAGACAACACTACGGAGAGGGAAAAATGTTTAATTGAACAGAAATTTTAAAAGATGTTGTTTTAAAATAAATGATAATTGCGTCGAACTGTAAACCCAACAAGATGGAACACGATATCACATAATCTTTACATTTTTTAGAGTATAAAGGAAATTGACAATATTTCACAAGTTTAAAAAAAGACAACTGCTCTTACTTGTGGTGTTGTATTTAACCCCATTGAAATACTCGGGGCAAGGTCTCGCTACAAGCTGTCCTGCTTTTGTCCTCGGCCAGCAAGTTCCTATCTGATCGGTTGTTGAATTACAATAAATACCTTGGGAAGAAGTTATGAAAATATAGAATTAAAATAAGAAACTACAGCAGGGAATGAAGAACAATTAAACAAATGAACATATGCTAAAAATCCACACGTCTACGAGGTGTTACACTGTCCTACCAGTGAGGTCCACAATCGGGATGGGGTCAGGTTCATAGAAATGGTCTTGGAAGAGGTCTATCAGGCTGCAGTTGGGATCAAACTCGTCGATGATGATCTGAAAGATTGTCGAGTCCATGTTGCAGGTTTTGCCGGTGTGTGTGTGTGTGTGTACTGTGTTCTGTCTCTCGGTGCTGCTATTTCAGCGGCTCTCTCCTCTCTCTGCCTTCCCTAAGATGTGCTTCTTGGTTTAAAACCTCACCTCTCTGTTAGATTCGCTCCACCTCTGTGGCCAATGGGAACGCAGCAGCTGCCCACGCCTGATCAAATATATCGGTGATTTGAGTGGTTTGCTCCGAATTCCGGCTACTTCCCTACTTATCCATAAGTGTTATTCTTTCCATCGCAATCTTTAGTCGCTCTTCCGTCTATGTTCACCTGTCTATGCGCCGATCTATTTCCTCTTCCTTACATACGGTCTACAGACCGCTCTGACTCCATCCCTTTCAATTTCCCCCCTCTGTCTCTGTCAGCGCCCCCCTCTCCATGTCTCCGTCGGTCTTGGGTCGCTCTCCTCGTCCCATCGCTTTATCTTTTTTTTGTCTTTCTTTTTTGCGCAATCTATTTCAGCTTATCTCTATTTGTTGGTCCTTCCTCTGTTTATAACTCTTCTTCAGTTTTTCACCTATTGTTTCTGCTGCTGTGGCTTTTTTCCCCGTCTGTTACTCCTCCTTTGTTTCTCAGTGTTTCTTTACCTTTTACTTTCTTGATTTTTCTTTTGCTCTCTATTTGTCTCCTGCTCTGAGCATTTATCTTGATTTCAGCATCACTCTATCTCTGATTTTTAATGTCTTACTCTTGGCATCTGTTTCTCTCCAGCTCACTGCCAGAATTTCTGTCTCTTATACTCTGGGCCTTTTTCATTTTTTGTCATTATTTGCATCTGTTGCTTTCTCGGTGTCTCTTACTCTCAGTGTCTCTGAATCTTGCTCTTGATCTACACCTGATTCTTTCTCTTAGGGTCTCTCTCCCTTGCTCCCAATCGGTATGCTCTGACACTTGCTTTCTCTCGACCTCTCTCCCTTGCTATTACTGTCACTGAAATGGTTGGAAACAGCACAATAAGACACACCAAGCCAGCAATTTTGTCCCCTTTTTGAAAGGATAAGAATGGTTTTGACCTCAGCCTTTACAATGAAACTCTAAATATCTTGCATGCATTTCCACAATTTATTAATTTAGTGTTCCTGCCAGCAGTTGATTTCCACTTATTATACATCTTCAATATTTCTCTCTTGAGTCCCTGTCTGTCTTTGTCTCTTGCTGTCTATCTGTACCTCTTTGCCTCATACACTCTCTCTCTCTCTCATTATCTCAAATTCTTTTTCTCTCCCCGTCTGTTTCTTGCATTCTGTCAATGTTTTGCTTTCTCTTGGTACTTCTCTGCCTTACTCCCTATGTCTAACTCTGTCTCTTGTTTACTTTATGTTTTCTTGGTGCTTCACTTGCTCACTATTTGTATATTCCCGTCTGTTGCTACCTATTTGTGTTTCCCTGTCCATTGCTCTCCCTCAGTAACTGCCTTTTGCTCCTTATCTGTCCTTCTCCATCTTTTGCTGCTTCTTTCCCTCTTTTATCTATCTGTCTCTCCTCGACACTTGTTCTCCCTCTGTATTTCTCTCTCTTTCAGTATCTCCGTATCTTTTCCTTTGGCTTCTCTCTCCCTTTTATCACTTGGAATTTTTTTTACTCCCAGGAAACAAATACAACTCCAACAAACATACCATGGATTGTCAATAGACATTACAAGTGGATGAGAGATCAGCCCAGGCTGCTGATTTATATACAGTGCCGTAAAACTCTGGCTTTCTATTTGATTTTGGCCTGCCAACCATCTGAAGGTAATTATACTGGTACTTGAAAATGGGACTTTTGGATTAGAATGAAATTTAACACTGTGTCAACCAGGGCTTATTTGGTAACTCTTTTGTTTCTGAGTTACAAGTTTGTGGGCTGACTTTAGTGAACCTTGGTGTTGAAGGATGCGCTGTACTGTTGGAGTCATGCTTTGTGAATGTAATTTTTACACAGGTGGACTGAAAAGATCACTTGGTACTATTTCAAACAAGAGCAAGCCTTGCCAATATTTATTCCTAATCTGACATCTAACAGCAGATTATCTAATCATGTTGACATTGCTATTTCCAGGACCTCGCTGCATGTAAAATGCAGTCATGTTTCCTTACATTGAAACAGTTTCTACACTTCTAAAATAGACTTAATAGGCTGCAAAATACTTTAGGATGTTCTGAGGTCTTTCTTTCCTTTAATTGGAATGTTTGGATAACTTCTGTAATGATTTAACAAGTAAATTTGTTGCGCTTGAGGTGACTGTGCATAGAAATCAGAAGGACCTATGTCTGATTGGTCCATAGAAGTAAATCAATGATGTACATAATTTTATACAAACTATTTGGCATGTTCTTAGAAATAGATTTGGAGTACTATTTATTCATTTATTTAAAGCTGCTCTAGGGGATAGAAACAACTTGTTAGAAGATTGGGGTCTGTACTTGAACTCCAAGGATGCTAAACCCAAGAAGAGATGCAATGGTACATTAGGTTCAAATTGCTGGTGAGTTTTTCCACGATGGATGCTAAGTTAAAAAAATACTCTCAGTTAAGACATTGCCCTTAATAAGTAATGAACAAAAAAATGAACAAGCAATGCCTGCAATGACTTGGGAATTTAAACAAAAAATGCATCACAATGAGTAAAATACTTCTGAAGTTAATACCTATAATAATATCACACATTTAGAGACATAGAAAACAGAAGCAATGGTAGACCATTCAGACCACTGAGTCTGCTGTGCCATTCACTATGAACATGGCTAATCCTCAATCTGAATTCCTTACTCCAGATCTCTCCATGTCAGGAAATTAAACTTTTCTAAAAATATGTTCAGTGTCTTGACCTGCATAGCCTTATGTCAAAGAAATTTCTAAAGGGTCACCAGATGTTTCCTCATACCAGTCCTAAACGTCCTGAAACCCTTTATTCTAGATCACACCACATCACCTCCCCAGAAAGGGGCAACGTTATTCCTACCTACATTTTGTCCGGTCCTGTCAGAATTTTGCATCTTTCTATGAGATTGCTCTCATTCTGCTGAACATCAGTGAATCCAAGCCTGACCTCTCCTGAGGTGCATAATCCTCATATGCCAACAAGGAATCCACCTAATGAACCTTCACTGCACTTGCTCTATGTCAAGTTTATCTTTTCTTCGGTAAGAAGACCAAAACTGCACACAATTCTTCAGGTTTGGTCTCACTGAAGTCTGTACCCAAATTGTCTGCAAACTAGGCCAACATATCAGTTGCCTTCCTAGTAGCTGGCTGAACATGCATGCTTTCTTTTAGGGGCTGGTATACAAAGACACCTTGGTCCCTTTGCATATCAAGATATCCCAAATTCTCAGCAGTTAAATGGTATTCTGCCTTTCTGATTTTCCTACTGAAGTGGGCAATGTCACACTTATTTACATTATACTGCATCTGATATGTACTCACCACACGCTCAACTAAATTGCTTTGCAGTCACTTTGCATCTTTCTCAACACCACAATCAGCCTTAGTTTTGTGCCATTGTCAAACTTGATATTACATTTGATTCATTCATGGAAACCAGTGACATATATTGTAAATAGTTGGTGTCCAAATACTAATCCATGCAGTTCACCAGTAATTGCTGACTTTACTCAAAAAAATCCTATTTCCTGTCTACCAAACAATTCACAAAGTATTACCTCCTGTATGATTTAATTTTGCACATTAGCCTCTTATGTGGGATTTGAAAATCCAAATTCTCCATATTCACTGATTCTCCCCTATCTATTCTACAAATACATCCTTTAAATGCTCTGGTTGCTTTCTCAGCCGTGACTTCCTTTTCATAAATCCATGTACGCAGCCGCCTCACAGATTTTTGTTGTTGGTTGATCAATCAATATAGGCAAGAACAATAGGAGAATAATCTGAATAATTTTCATTTACCCTGGCTCTTGGTTAATATTTATGCCTGAGCCAATTTACTACAGCAGATTGTTACATCATGGTCACATTGTTGGTTAAGAGCATGTGATGTATGCAAATTGATTGCTGCATTTCCTGCCCTATGACAAAAAAAGTACTTCACTGTAAAGTGCTTTGGAACATTCAGAGATTCCTGTATAAATACAAGCTTTATTATTTTTCTTATCTACATTTGTACAAAAACAATGAGCACTTGAAAGAGATATTGGAGTACTACTGGATTGTGCATATTCCTTTATTTACATAATTATTCCAGTGCATAAAATATTTTTTAAAATGTTGATTGGTTATAGCACAGAAGGAGGTCATTTGCCTCATTTGCAAACATTTTGGAAGAAAAACACAGCCAGTACCAATTATGTACCTTTTCTCTGCAGCCCTTCAAGTTCTTTGTCTTCGGATAGTTAAGCAACATTCCTTTAAAAGCCATGATTGAATTTACTTCCACCATACTGTCAGGCACAGCATTTAAGATCCTAACATCTCATTGGATAACAAGAGTTTGTCTCTTTCACCTTTGATTTTTTTGCCATTCACCTTAAGTTAGTATTAACCGCTTCTTGAACCTTCTCCTAATGAGAAAGGTTTCTCCCTATATAACCTATCACTTTCCTCATGATTTTAAACATCTCTATTATGTTTCTTCTCAAATCTTTTTTAAGAAGAACAGCCCCAGCTTCTCTCATCTATCATTGGAACTGAAATCCTTCATCACTGTAATTATTCTTGTATGATTTTACCCTCTCCAACTCCTTTACATCCTTCCTAAAGTGTACAGTACAGAGAATGTTCTAAAGTGGTTTGTAGATTGTCTTTAAGAAGACAAATGATGAGCCAGAGCTAGTTCTATTTTATTTGTTTGTGGGGATGTCAATATTACTGGCAAAGTCAGCATTTATTATCCATCGTTAATTGTTCTTGAGAAAGTGGAGGTGGGCCACTTTCTTGATCACTACGGTTTTCTGGGAGAGAGTTTCAGAATTTTAATCCAGTGATAGTGAAGAAATGGCAATATATTTCCAGGACAGGATGGCATATGGC